AATCGTCCAATTCGCTTAAAACTTATTACTCGGGGGTTTTCGGGGTCGCTGATTACGAATCTGATGTCAGAATTGAAAAATTCAAAATGGCGGATCCAATATGGCGGCCGAATTTTAAAAAAATCGTCCAATTCGTTTGAAACTTGTTACTCGGGGGTTTTCGGGGTCGCTGATTACGAATCTGATGTCAGAATTGAAAAATTCAAAATGGCGGATCCAATATGGTGGCCGAATTTTAAAAAAATCGTCCAATTCGCTTAAAACTTATTATTCGGGGGTTTTCGGGGTCGCTGATTACGAATCTGATGTCAGAAATAAGAAATTTAAAATGGCGGACCTAATAGGGCGGAAGATTATTAAAAAAAACTATTAAAAATATTTAAAACTTGTTACTCTGGAGCTTTTTAAGTTGCCGATCACGAATTTGTCACGAGAGATTAAAGAAAAAAAATATTAATAAAAAGATCATTTGTATGGATCTTGTAAACTATAGGTTTTCGTATTCAAAATATTTTTTGCAGTTACTCATTACTACTCTAGTATTGGATAACTGCGAGTGGTGTGGTTGCATTTGAGTACCTAAATACTACTAGCTTCTTGTCTGAAGTAACTATAAATGAGTGTGCTGATTGGATTTTTGTAACTGAAGGAGCTTTGGAAAATCTTTTATTTAATGAACGCTTAATTTTTTCATGCTCTTGTTTTGTGTAATAGATAAATCGTGTCGTTTTAATGTGCTCTTTAGCCCATGTAAATAGACTAGTGGCATTCAAAATAGCATTTTCTGGTTTAGCTTGTAAGCTAGCTCGAGTGGCTTCTCTCTTTAAAACTGCTCCTATGCCATCGCATGCTCCTTTTCCATGAGCGGTTGCATGGAAATGCCACTCTGCCAGAACATTAAAATCATCTTCGTGATGAACTAAATTCATCATTTGAAATTTGTTTTTATAATGCTGTTTAGCACCATCAGTAAAAATTATTATTTTTTTAACATTTGTGCAAACTTTTTTAATGTCTGCAATAACTTTTTGTTGCAGTATGTAGACTGCTGCAGTATCATGCGTAGTAGATTCGGATAGCAAGACAATACTGCAATGCTTTAATTCACCATTTTCTTTATAATAAAAAATTGCAGGATGCACTGTGCATTGGTCATTATTATAATGAAAACCTTGTACAGCATCTTGTACAACATAGGCGTAGTTGTCAGAAAAATCACACTGTAGTAACACTTTGCCTTCTTGGAGGTTTCTTTTCCTCTCTTGATAATATTCCGATTGATTTTTTGCAATGTAATGGTGTGGCAATAGTTTTGTTAATTGACTAGATAATTCGGTTACAAAGTCCCTTGCAATATAATATTTTTTCGTCAGAGTGCATCTATCAGTTGATTGCCAACAACTACAAATGATTTCAGATATTTCATTTTCTTCCAAAAGGTTTAAAATCATATTTGAAAAGTTTTCCACGCCGGGGCATAAGGTGCACTCTAAAAGCAAACAGGATGGTCCAGGATTTTCACATAAAGCAAATTTAAAGCAGTCTTTATAATCTTTTATCCTATTCTCTGAATCAGGTATCAATTTTTCATAATTTATGGATTCAATCATCAACTTGAAATTTTGATGAATCACACACACACACAGACGCTTTGTGTACCTGCTGATCCTGCGCAGACACAATTTTTGGGTCGCAATTCAGCGAATTTCGACAAGCCAATTGGAAATTCAGGATACTGCTCCTTAAATTGATTATGCAACACTTTAATGTCTACAAGCAAAAGTCTTTTTTGTAGTATCATTTTTTTCCATTCACTCTAGCGGAAACAGTATCCTTTTTACCTGGCATAATACGACTATTCTGATCACACTCGTAAAAATCTTTAACTTTATCAATTGTTTCCTCAGGTAGTGTTTTACCAAGTTTTGATTCAGGTGTTGCCAAAACTCCACCATTCTTTCTCAAATGTTTGGCTTTCCTTGCTTGTCTCTCTGAAGTACCAAACTCTGACGCAATTTGTCGTACAGTCCAGCATTCAGGAGAAATTGTCAGTATAGACATGCGTAGAGGATCGTTCATTGGTAAAGAAGAAAATTTATCCTTTAACCCCGTTAAAAGTTGTTCTAATTGTTCTTCTCTTGACAAACATTTCCGTTTACTCTCTGGCTCTTCTGTCAATGAATTATCAAAATCACTAGTGACAACACTTTTATTACATAATTTACGACATTGAGAGCAAATTCTTGCATTTTCTGGTACTTGAGGAAATTGTTTTAATAATATCTTTGACATTATCCTTAAATCTGAACCTTTGTGATTTTCACGGTTTAAGGGGTTAATGCATCTATCTACATGAAGCGGATAGTTAGAAGTTTTCTTTTCACCGCCTGACATGATGGAAATGATAATTTTGAAATTAAACAATTTCGAAAAGAAAGGAAGAACTTTCAATGCAAAATTGAAAAAACTTACCTTTTGACAATTAAAATAAAAATGACAGAAGAAAGTCGCTGAAAATAAACAAAAAAAGAACTAGAAATAGGAAAGAAAGTATCAGAAGAAGGAAGAACAGAAAGAGAAGAATAAAACAATGATTTGAAAAAATGACTGGAGAAAGAAATGTAGAGATGAAAATGAAAAGTTTTAAAAAAATTTAAAAAGATATGACTGAGAAAAAAACGAAAAATAGAAGGAAAAATGGAAAGGAATAGCTCTGAAAAGAACTGATTTTTTTATGTTTGAAATGCACAAGAATACCTACCTGCAAAAGTACACGAAAAATTCGTAATATTTCTGTATCGAAAGTCTCTCGTATTTATACGTTTCACAACGCATCTCGTTGATGAGAGAAATTACCTCATTTACGATTGCGCCACCATGCGGAAAATATAGAAAACGCGGCTCTTTAATGAAAGAATCGACCTTATGTACGATTTCGCCACCTCGCGGACAAAATAAGAGTTATATATTAAGAGCGCGAATATTTAAATTTGACGAAATCTTTACAAATAATAAAAAGCAAAATTATGTTAAATTATTAAATAGAAATTAATTCAAAATAATTAAAAAATTAAGTGATAAATAAAAATCACAATTTTCACAAACAAAACGGGTTCTTAAAATTATATGTTAGAATTTTCATTTCCAAGAATTCCTTGTGAAATAATTTTCTTTTAGAGCAATTTTTATAACTCCAAATTATTATTAGAAACAATTTTCATTAAACAGTTTTTTTACATTATAGAATATTAATAATTCGGGCAAATGAAAATTCTACACAAAAAAAATTATTTTAATCAAATATAAAAGTACTTATCATTCAAATGTTTTTGCTTCCTCGTAAAGGAAGCTTTGCAGTCTTTTCGTTTATAAAATTTTTAAAAATGGTAAACATTTTTTTAATTGAAAAATTTTTAAATAGAAAAATTTAAGGTAATATATAATATAATCGTCTTTCTTACGTCAAGACGAATCCATTGGTATATACAAAGTATAGATTCGATTGAAATTTAAAGAATTAATGAAAGTTAAAAAATCAAAATTTCACATTTTAGCTAAAAAATTTTGTGTTTTTTTAATTTCAAGTTAATAAATAAAATAATTTAATTCCTTGCATTGAAACGAATCGATTCGTATATATAATATAAAGTATATGTTACACCCAAAAAGAATTGAAATTTTCTTACTTTTCCAAAAATTTTTATTAATTTAAATCAATTTTTAACTCGAAATATTTTAATTTAATCAATCGAATTAGAGAAATTCATAGCTTCCTCCACGAGGAAGCAAATTTTTTGCTTTACACAAGAAGGAAGCAAAATGTTTATGAAATAAACATAAAGGACCCCCTCTTTGTTTAAGTTTCAACATAATCAATTTCTTATTTCTGACATCAGATTCGTAATCAGCGACCCCGAAAACCCCCGAATAATAAGTTTTAAGCGAATTGGACGATTTTTTTAAAATTCGGCCGCCATATTGGATCCGCCATTTTGAATTTTTCAATTCTGACATCAGATTCGTAATCAGCGACCCCGAAAACTTTAAAAACAACTATGACTTTAGATTTTTAAATTTTTGTCTTTAAATGAGACATTTTTTTACTTATGCATTTCCATTTATGATTGTTTATAATTGTTATAACAAAAGCATTATTATAAATTTTTTAATTTGCCACTCATTTTTTGAAAGTTTACATGTGTACGAACATTTTTATATATTATAAGTTTATTTATATTGCGTGCAATTTTGGGCAGAGCTTTGGTCCGCTTGACGTGGAACATCCCATATATATATCAATTTACATAGCGTTGTCAAGGAAAAATAAAAAATTTCGAAAAAAATTGTTTATTCTCCCTAGCGCACACAATATTCAACCCATACAGTTCATATTTAGTGTACAAATGTATTTTTACGGGAAAAATACAAGAAAAAAAAGCGGTCATGATTAGAGTTGATTATCAAGTTTTTCAAGAAAAAATGACAATTTTAGGGAAAAAATGTATTTTTCCACCAAAAACGAACAAAATTTTGTTTAAAGGAATTCAAATTTATATATTTTAACGTATTTTTACGTGTAGAATACAAAAAAATATAACGAGCATGATTAGAGTTGATTATCATAGCGTTGTCAAGGAAATACCATGAATTTGTACGAAAAATACCTAAAAATGTCTATGTACCCCCCCCCCTAGCGGTCACATCTTTTGACATAAAGAGCTCAAATTTCGTACACTTACGTATTTTTACTTGAAAATTACAGAAAAAATATAGCGAAGTTGATTCGGATCAATTTACATAACGTTGTTAAGGAATGATAAGTAAATTAGTATATACACGGAGAGACCGCCGGTTGGAAAAATTACTAAAAAGATTTACAAGTAGCGGAAATAAGGTTACTTTGTCATACAGCATACTTAATAAAACTGTAGACTATAGTAATTTCTATTCCAATTTGTGTACAATTTTACTATAGTCTACAGGTTTTATTAAGGGGTTATGCCACTCTAGGATTTTCAAAAAATCGCTTTTTTTTTTTTGCTTTAAATAGTTCCTTAGGGTCTCAGAAATAACATATTGCAGGATTATGGCTCGGAAAGATCTCTAAATAATTTATTTTCGAAGTTCCTTGCAAGGCTGCACGGTACGCGGCGAGCTCATTTTGTAAGTTCTACGGGGGGTAATATTTGAAGGATCTACAGCAGGTATACGGCAGATGTTTTCAAAGGCGCTAGTTACTTGCTAGACTATAGTGGTCAATTATATGGTGCAGGCATTGCAGATTAAAGGTATTGTGAAATTATTTAAGTTTTTTACAACTTAAAACTTTAAACGCGTTTATCTCCAAACTACATTTTTCGAGTTGGCCGAACCAACAACTCGTACAATTTCCAACCGATTAGGTTCAAATTTGACACACATCTTTAAAAATACATTTTTTAAGGTATCACGTAGGATTTTTTTTTTATTCTATATAGTTCATTTGTTATTAACTATTAACTGATGGTTTTTTAGTCGAAATTAGAAAGTTTAACTTTAGAAGTGCGCCATTTGATCATGAATTAATATATCGAAAAAATCCTACGTGTTACTTTAGCTATTGTAATATATAATAAAAAAAAATTTAGATAATCAAGATATTTTAAAATTTACAGGAGCAGTTAGTTCGGCCACGTACCCCTTGAACCATAGAGGAGTCGAAGGACGACCGCTACAGCGCCACCATTCTTCAAGAAATATTTATAAGAAATTATTTTTTTACACCTAAAAAGATGTATAATAAACTTCTTATATTATATTTTTAATTGACTTTATGGTTTTTCTAAAAAAAATTCACATAAAACACCTATTTTTTCGGTCTCTAGAGTGGCATAACCCCTTAAGTATGCTGCTAGTAGAATTTTCGATTTCCTACAGCAATATTTGACAATGTAACCTTATTTCCGCTACTTGTAAATTTTTTTAGTAATTTTTCCAACTGGCGGTCTCTCCGTGTAATAATTTACGGAAAAGTACATTTTTATTAATTAAATATAGAATATTTAAAAGTAATTAATAAAAAGTTTATCTTCTATTTTCTCTTACCCTTTTTTCTATTTCAATTTTTATACTTCTTAAAAAATAAAAATAAAATAATAAAAATAAAATAAACACTCGCACTGAAATCGATGGTTCCGTACTTGAAGCGAACTTATTTGGTATAAAAACAAATGTTTAAAAAATATGTGTAGTATGTATGTTAAATAATATATAAAAAAAAAGAAAGGAACAATTTAAAAAAAAATTAAGAAAAGTGTTCCTCTTTTGCACCCCGGTGACACTCTTGAGTTGAAACTCAGACCAGATTTGACCGTTGCCACCGGTGGCGCTGGCTGTGTAGTGGGAACATTTCAATGAAAATTCATGAGATAACACACAAAAATTTACTTCTCACTTATTAAAGTTTATTTAATCGTGTTTATTTGTGCATATAATTAATTTAGAAACTTTTAACCATATTTTATAATATAACTCACTTTAGAAAAGAGTGAAGTTTTTTATTTATAACGAAAAATATGTACCAATTCCTGGCGGGAAATCCAAATAAAATAAATTTTTATTATTATAAATTATTATTTTATTAATTGCTGATATTTATTCTCTAATATTTAACAATATTTATAATAAATTGTTAAATACTTTTATTTGTGATATTTGATGAGTACATAATAATTACTTAATTTGAATTTCCCGCCAGGAATTGGTACATATTTTTCGTTATAAATAAAAAACTTCACTCTTTTCTAAAGTTAATTATATTATAAAATATGTTTAAAAGTTTCTAAATTAATTATATGCCCAAATAAACACGATTAAATAAACTTTAATAAGTAAAAAGTAAATTTTTCTGTGTTATCCCATGCATTTTCATTGAAATGTTCCCACTACACAGCCAGCGCCACTGGTGGCGACGGTCAGTTCTCAGCCGAGTTTATTCCTATAGAAAATGGTACAAGTGTCACCGGGGTGCTCTTTTGGTATAAAAACAAAAAAAAATTAAAAATATGTGTTGTATGTCAAATAATATAAGTGATACGAAGAGGAACAATTTTCTTAAATTTAAAAAAAAATAGTTCCTTTTTGTATCACTTATATTATGTGACATACAACACATATTTTTAAAATTTTTTTGTTTTTATACCAAACAAGTTTGCTTCGAGTACAGAACCCTCGATATATACGAAACGCGCGCGTTTTGCGCTGACGCGTATCGCTAGCGACAGAGTGGGATACGTATTTGTTGACGCGTAACGCTAGCGATAGAGTGATATACGTATAGTTTAATACGTATACCACTCTGTCGCTAGCGACACGCGTCAGCATAAAACGCGCGCGTTTCGTATATGTGGAATCAACATGAGACATATAATAATACATATTATTATACGTATAATTATACGTGTTTTTTCAATAGGGTCGCACTTGTCCGATTTTTTGTATTCTATTTTTGTTAATAAACAAACATATGTCCAATATACTTATTAAGAATTATATTCAGATTTGAAATCAGTATTTATACATTTTGAAAAAGGAAAAATAATAAGGGCGAATTGTATAATAAGAACGCCCCTGAAGAAACTAAGCCGTGAGGTGTCATGGCTGCTGCTGAAGGAAAAATAATTTTTCAATATTTTCCTTATAACTTCCTTATTACTTAGAAAATTACTTTCCAAACTTTTGAAAAACTTCCTTAATAGTTAAGGAAAAACTTTGTCGCGAGAACTTTTTCCAGAATGAAAATTCCCTCGATAATTTTTTCATTAGAAGGTTGAAAAAAAACATATTTTTAAAATTAAAACTTTATTGTAATAAAAAAATTTGAATATAAAATAATAACAATTTTTATGAATCTTTTTATGAATTTTTTATGATTGTCGTCTTAAATAGTATAAACTGAATAAAATTCACTCTATTAAGTTTAATATTTGTTTTATAAAAAATCTCTAAGGAAAAAAATGTACGGATTTCTATTTCCTAGAGGATAGCGTTTTTAAAAAATTTTATTTTTTTCCATTTTTGGACCACCTGACTGGTCGCAAGGCGGCTGTCTCAAGCGTAGAGCCCCTTATAGAATCGGGGTCCTCAATTTAGAATTTTATAAGTGACAGGAATATTCTCTCAATATCACAGGGATATTCCTTGAATGTTATCCTTAAAGTCGAAGAACTTTAAGAAAATTAATTCTTTATAATAATAATATAATTATTATATTAATATATTATTATAATATAATATTAAATGTAGAGTCAGCATAACATTCGGAGCTTCCGAGTAATATTATTAAATTATAAAAACGTGGATTGATAATATGGAGCAATTTTCCCACATTGACATCACAGTACGAAATTTGCCCCCATCTCGTGAGATTTGCCCACATATAAATTTTTATATAAACAAATTTTATATTTATTTAAATAAAATAGATGACTTGAGATCAAAAAATAATGCTATACATATTTTAATATATTGTCTATTTATTTGTACTTTATCTACTCCTGTTCTAAGCGTACAGTCAGATCTTCGTCATTAATAGGAGTACTAGTCCTTCCTCTGTTATTAAAGTTGGAAATAGAATGTTCAGAGGAGTTAGTATTAAACTCAGAAAGCATAGAATCTCTGAAAGAATGAATATTTAATTTAATTATTATAAAAAGTAATTACAACTATTTAATTGTTTATTTTTTTACTCACAAAATAATTGAATCCGACAATCTTTCAGAATTCTGGATATTATTTGATTTTATTCTCTTTGCATTATTAAGTTTCTGAGTGATTGTACTTTTAATTGTTTTCGATAGGTTTTCCTCATTAGGAAAGTATATATTAACGTAACCTATAAAAATATTTTTAAATATATGTATTGTATTTTTACCATAATGTATATAAGATTTTTTATTCTAAATGTACTTACTGTAAATAGCGTTTTCAATGCTTGGATTTAATGCAGTTGTAGTATGCGTTGTTCTCTTGTTTGCATTACATGTTCCACCCGTCCGAGATAAACTAATTAGTTCACTTTTTTGGTAAAAATGACTAAGAAGGTCATTTGTCATTGATCGAGAGTTCTTATTTCTTATTCTTAAAATTACCTCGTATGGTATTGATATTTCTTCCGTAATTTGAATTAAGTCACGCATCTATAAAAAGAAATTTTTTAATCCAAATTTTTAATTTCTTAATATCATTAATAGATTTTTACTACCTTAGGCAAGACTGTAGCGTTCTTTACTTTAAGCAATGTTAACTGCGATTTACTTTGAGGAGGTGAGATTTCCTTTATCGCAGTCGAGCTTACTCCAATTGGCCTGCTTTTCACCGATGTTGATCTTCCGTGTAAAATTTTTTGGTGTTGATGTGAACGTTTTACTAAAAATAGTACAAATTTCATTTCTTAATCTCCATTTGATATACAGTGACTATGATAATTTAATATGGCACAGTTTATTGAATCTTCATTTTTATAAAACTCACTTATATTATTCTGAATTCCATTTGCTTCACGACTCGTAGAATGGTTAGATCTAGCTTTGAAAGAAAATTCGCTACTTTCTTGTGTATTGAGAACTGTCTGATTATGCAAATTAATTTTAACAAAGTTTTAGTTTTAAGTATATCATGTTCGCCAATTGTATGTACGTTATTTTAAACAAACCATTTCATAAGTCTGATGTAGTCTATTTACTTGTTCACTTAGCTTCCTATTACTATGTTCTAAATCTTCAATTTTTTTGCTCATACTCATTAATTTCGCAAACACACCTGTTTGCAAATTCATCACCAAATCAGTCATAATTTGCTCCGATTTTCTTATTACATCTATGACAGTATCTATCGTAACTAAAATAAGGATGGAATCTCGTATAAGACACTAGTTATAATTTTTATATAATGGCTTAGCTTTATATATATATATATATATATATATATATATATATACTTAGCCTATAATTTTTATAATTTGATTATGGTTTTACAAACCTGCATTGGAAATATCATCTCCGTTTACATTGTGTGTTTGTAAAACTTCATCCCGTGATTTTGTAGCAGACGTAAGATCTACTTCAGCCAAGTTTATTTCTTCCTGATACCGTTCCTCAACCTGAGAAATATTCATACATAGTATTTGAAATTAGAATTTCAATACTTTCTTTATCTATTACATTCAAAACCAAAATTACGATGAAAATATACTCCAAAAACTGACTGTCTTCAGAAAGCAAGAAATATATTGTTTTAAAATATGCGGAAAAAGTTTTAAATCAAGAAGTATTTTGCAACTTAAAGATGGCCAGTTTTTTGCAGTGTACATTTAAACGACACTAGCTTTGCTGTCGCATCCTACCAAAATACATTATCCCGTACTAGGTCACGTGGGAGGTTCCCACATACCTTTAAGCAATATATATGTACACTTACTTTACTGAGAATATCATTTCCTCTTTTTCGATTTGCATTTTCTAGTATGGCTGTTTCTTCTTTCTGCAAAACATAATTTTAATTATATTATGTTCAGTTAGCTCGCTATCTTGAAAAACATGTATAGTTTTAAAGAAAACATTTAAAAATAAAGCGTCATTAGGAATTATACATACCTCTTTTTTCCTTTAATGCCTTTTTGGGGTCCTTAATTTCGCCATCTTCATCGTCACTCGAAGTAGGTAATTTTCTTTTAAGCAACTTTCTTGATTCTTTGGAAGGCTCGAGAATTCCATACTTTTCATAATTTTTACATAATCTTGCCATATCAGGCCAAGCTACAAATTTT